ATCTTACTTTCTCGTCATGAGAACCTAAAAGAAAAACATTTTTAAATCTTTGCTATTTTAATATGTGTTTTAATCAACAATGGGAATGTATGCATTTTAATTTTGTTTATAAACCTCATTTGAGTGCTTTTCATGTGCCAGCCATCATGCTGGAGGGAATGTAGAAGCAAAGACTTCTTTCTTATTCTGTTTTCTGTTGCTGTAACAGTATATCAAAGATTGTGTAATTTATGAACAAAAGAAGTTTCTTTTAATCACAGTTCTGGAGACTGAGAAGTTTGCAGCATGGTGTGCACATGTGGTAAAGGTCTCTACATGGTAGGAAAAGGTAAAAGGAAAAATGAGCATGTGGGAAAGAAACAAACATGGGCACACTTAATACAACTCTCTGTAACAAACTCACTCCTAAATAAGGAAATTAATCCATTCATGAAAGTTCCACCTCCATGACTCAAATACCTTCCACTAGGACCTATCTCCCCAGATTGTAACATTGGGAATGAAGTTTCCAAGATGTGAATTTGACAGACACATTCAAACCACAGCAGCTTCTCTAGTAGATGAGAATCTGAGAACACACTATCATGTAAATAAATGTATTTTAATGATAAATGATTAAGTATCACATGAAAAGGAGCATAAAATTAGTAATGTACTGCAGATTACATACCTAGGATGAAGTGAGAGAACAATTATTCTGCTATTCTAAAAAAACCTACTTTTCATTCTGTCAGGAATAGGAATTATAGGAGAGTTTTCTTATCATAAATAGAAAATGTATTTACTAACATGGTATAGCAGTATTTTTAGTGCAGAACCAACTAAACTATTCAAAAGCTTCAAAAATAAAAATGTAAAACATCTACAATGCGCTCACATACATAAACATTTTATGCAGTGAAAATATAATAATTAATCAAATCATTACATCACTTTTTCCTAGGTATATTTTCATACATTCCTCATACAAGCCCAGATCAAAGATACTAGGTCACAGCAAACAGGAAGTAAGCAACCTCACATGGCAGCTCAGGGAGTATCAATTACAATGTATATTTTATAAACCTGATAAGAATCTACAATATTGTGAGGATTTAAACACAGTCAGACAAAGAATGAAGCCCTCAGATGGACTCTCAAACTACTTTCAAACCTCAATATTAATATTTTCTGTACAGCAAAACAGTGAAAAATGTGCTTCAATGAAATGCCCAGAATTCACATTATCCAACAAAAATGACTGGGTCACAAAATGAATAAGCTTCTTCATTAGGTTAAAAATAACGGAAAGAATTTAGCTCAGTGCCACCACTTCTGCCTTGCAAGTGCAAGATTCTGAGTTCAATCCGTGGTACCAGGAAAAAAAAACAACAAAACAGAACAACAACAACAAAAAAAAAAACAATGGGAAGAAAATTGTTTCCTTCATTAAGCCTGGGATATATGAGTGAAAAACAAAAGATTCATTCATTTTTATCCATGATTTTAATGTATCTTGGGTAAAAATCATTATTTTCATTTTTCTGGGCTCAACCAAGAAAATATCGTATCAGGCCATCACACACACACACACACACACACACACACCCCTCAGAGGGAACTGAAGAAGAAATGGTCTTTGTAGAAATGGTCTTTGTTTCTATTCTGGTACGATATTCTGGGTCTCAGTTTCCAAATGCAGCTGGGCCAGATGAGTCAGCTCAGCTACTTCAGCTGATTCCTTTCTAGTAACCCACTCAGAAGTTTCTCTTTGCATTTGCAGTCCAGAGGAGAGGCAAACAAGGCACAGAAAATTAACTTTGACCCAGACTTTCCACTTTCCTTGGCTTCATGATTTCGATTACGTTATTCTCCTTGTAAAGAATCACGTGTGTACATACATTGTGGATGCTTTAAACAACCTTAAACATGATATACCCTTTAAAAACAAATATTCACAAAAAAAGAAATAAAATAGTGCCGATTAACAAACAGACATCTCATCCTTTTAGCTCCATCCCATTCATAGATGAAACACACTAAAGAAACCCTCAGTATTCTGTACATTTCCATATCAAATGTCAGAGGAGCCATATGAAGATACAGATACCCTTCTGACATTTAGGAATTGTTGAACTCAAAATATGGCCAATATCAAAGTAATGAGGTTATTGGGGTCCTCAGAGGTGTGGCATGAGGCTGTTCTGCTGTGCACTTGCAAAACTACCTGAGAAGGGGGGTGAATGAAGATTTAGTCTGCTAATGTCATATATGATTGCAGAAAAATCAATAGGAATCAAGAGCAGACATTTTCTAAGACTAGCCACTCTACTTTTTTTGTCTGTGCTTTTCCTTCCCTTATAACGTACAGTCTCAGAATTTATAATGTAAAAAACAAAAGATATTTAACCAATAAAGTCAATCTTACACATCACAATATCCCTTTTCATACATAAATTTCTAAAGTACTATAATTGAAAAGGTTAGTAAAGACCTCCAGGTGAGCTGCTAAGTGGTTTTGTTCAATGGATTACTGGAGAACATAAAAGTATTTGAGAAGTTCTATGAACAATTAAATGTTTTCTGGATTTGTCTAACATGCACAGACACAATATAGACTTCTTGATGAAGTCTTCATTATTGTCTCTACTTAGAGGATGTCTGTGACACCATCACAGGTACTCACCCACTCCCTCTTGCCAAGTGATGGTTTTAAAATCATCATTTGTTCCTCCACCATTTCATGGAGCTGTTTTTCTGTACATAGTGAAACACCACCTCAAATCAATACCAGAAGTCAAGGAGCTCATCCTCAGATAAGAGACTCATGTATAAATATGTGACTGTAAGTAAAAAGCAGCATAAGTAATAGAGCAGGAAAAGACTACAGTGTAGCTCAACAAGAAGAAATCTGCTAAACTTTGAAAGTGAGACAGGATGGGAAGGATTGAGAAAGGAGGTTGCATGGTTTCCCACACCAAAAGGAGTCCAACAGACCAAAAGCCCCTTAGAGGACATTCCAGGCAGAAAACTTTATAAATGCTGAAGAGCGGATAAGCGGATGCTCTCTAGAAGCTGCCTATAACGCTGGGACTGCCACCCTGGCTGTGGAGAAATGGGTGCTGCTAAAACTAGAGTAGATGCCAAGATAGGGCTAACTTGACAGATGCTATCAATGAAATACTGAATACCACAATAGGTGTCTTTGGGAACATGTAGATCTGCTTTTCCCATGTACATCTTCACACATTCCTTCTATTAGCCCAGATGAAGATCTGGTGTGAGAAACTGAAAGTGTAAATAAGGACTAAAATGAATAATTGATAATATGAAATAGGAAGAAAAGGTATTAAGGAGTAGATGAAAGGAAATTAGGGAAGGTAAATAAATATGAGATAAGAAATACATTGAAACAAAGCTTTTGCAAATAGGGAGGTCTGAAGGGTTGAGGGGAGGGGAGGGGAAAGGGGAAAAAATAAGAACTGAGATACAACACATAATTATGAATGTAAATGTATTGTATACCTACAATGTACCAATCAAAGAATTTAAGAGAAAAAAAAAAAGATGCTAGGTCATAGCAAATAGGAAGTGAGCAACCTTCTGTGGCAGCTCAGGGAGTAACATTTCACAAACTTACTTCTTTTTAGCATCCCGCTTTACCCAACAGGCACCTGAATCTAATCCACCTATAATTTCTTTTCAACTCACATTGGATTTATGATCAATTCAATTAAGTTGTCCATACAATTATTCACAATGTTGTCAAAAATATTGTATTTATGAATTTTGACATTTGAACTTTGAATTGCTTAGGAAAATTAATTTTACATTTAACAAAACTTCCTATCACAAATAGAGCTATAGAGATTCAGCTTAACAAAACCACACCCTGGATCAGAATCACCATCTTGCCCATTAGGCGATCCTGCCACACATTCCAAACTAAGCAGGATAAACAAAGTGGCTAAGATAGTGAACCAAGAATTCGGTTCTGGGCACTGACACCTAACTCTCTTAACTGATGTTGGACATATTAATAGTTTTTGAGAAAGGTAAAATAATTTCCATCTAGCCACAGGCCACCTTTTTCTAACTTAGTATAAAATTACATTCTCCAGGCTCATGGTAAAAGGATCCACCTGCATTGCTGTCTTGGCCAGCCAGGATTTTCCCAAAAGAACAGCTGTAACAGTTTGTACCTTTATTGAAATTATTTATTAATTTAATCAGCTGGTATCTGCTGAATGTCCACTATGGGTAATGGCACTGATGCAGGCCTTTAGAATACAAAAACAAATGAAATAAGGATCCTAACCTCAAGGAACTTATGGTCTGGTGAAGAGGGAGCCTCCAAAGCAAAGAATTACAATATAATTCTGAGCTTAATATGCCCAGAGAAAGAGATTAAAGGAAATGTTATTCAAAAGGAAGCTGGCAAAACTATTTTATTATGATAATACTTCATTTGGTATTAGTGCTTCAAATTTTTTCATATATTATGAATCTAATAAGAAATCCATATAAGGGAACATGCAAACCCAAGATGGCCACAATTATAGTCCAGGCTGTGAAGTGCAGGTATGAGGGAGGTCATAGGTCAGGAAGACTCCAGCACAGGTGCACTTGACCATGTCCTGGTAAATAACTTACATACCAAGATCAGTACTGACACAGAGCCACTATTGTATATTTTGGTATAAATGTAGACTGCAATGAGGGCTGAGGAACTCAGTGACTGAGGACTACAGAGAATGTGCAGCAATGGCTAAGAACTAGGAATGCAAGAATGACTGGACATAAAAGGTGAGCTGGACTGAGCAACTGAAGGAAGAAAGGCATGCTCAGACATTCTTATAGCTCCTCATCTTTTCTAAAGGGTGCCTGAACCTCAAGTGAACCTCCCCAGCATACACTGAAACAAAGCAGACCCATGACACCTGTGAAATTAAAAGATGTGCAATATAAATTTTGCAAAGTATCTACCCTTTAAAATAGATGTTGGCAAATATCTATTTAACATGCTCACTTTGGCAACACATATACTAAAATTGGAACAATACAGAGAAGATTAGCATGGACCCTGCACAAATGTCTATTTAACAAAAGTGATAGGTAAAATTTTTTTATTTGTTCCTCAGTTTTTACTATTTAGCTCTTCACCTAGAAAATCTCATTGAACTATACTTAAGTATTAATATACTTATATGGTTGTGGGTCCAATTGAACTATATTTATGTTATTAATATACTTAAATAGTTATATGTCAGTTTTTCAAGAAAGTTTCAAAGGGACAAACTTGAAAGTTCTTTATAGAGTAAAATGAGGAGAGATATTCTAAGATCCATTCCCACTTAAGACTGGACTTAGAGGACTGCTTTCTGCTTATGATTCTAAGCTTCTTATTCTTCTATTACTTATCCAAATTATCACTTTCTGCAATGTTATGAAGGCTTAAACTGAGAATTCACAATTTTCCATCTTAACACGATGCATATGTGTTCCTTGCTCATGTACAAGCCTGCTGTCATTTGGAAGATGGTTTGTCAATCTCGTGGCTAGACCACAATCTTGTGGCTGGACCAATTCCTAGCCCTACCTAGTCTGATGCTGCCATTGAGAGGTAGGCAACGCAGCTGCAAGGAAAGTCTGCAGATGAGAAACGGCACACATCACTTCTACAAGGGGAACACACTCAGCTGGTTACAACAAATGATTATACAACAAAGTGTTCTGATGTGGGATAAATAAGAAGAGGAAAAAGAACTGTGATCATTTAGCAGATTAAGCCTGTTATGGTTTGTGTTTAGATATCCACTAAACAAAAGCCTCTCCTGGATGAGGTAGGACTTTCTTTTTCAGAGATAGTTGAATCTGGAATATGTGATCCTGGGATTAAGGGCGTGTGGTTACTAAAGGATATCATGTGAGTGATTACTTTGCCACCACCCTAATCTCAGTAGTCTAAGAGAAAAGGGGTGAAAAGATACTGTGAACCCTCTTGTTGCCTTTGCTACTGTGTGGGCACCATGTTTCTCCTCTGTGATGCCTGTTTGTCGTCATCTCCTTGGAGCCAACCGATTATGGACTGAAACCTCTACAAAGTGTAAGCCAAACAAACCCCTTCCAAGTTTGGGTATTAGATATTTTGTCTTCGCAATGAGAGAAAAGTAACTACAAAGCCACATCTTTTTCTAATAATAATGATAATCACCAGTAATAATTTCTACCTTATATCTTAAAATTATTTAAAGACAATTGTTAAATTATATTTATTCTCAATATATAGAGACAATTACTTGCATAAAAGGAAAACAAGAATTATCTTTGGATAGTTACAATTTTATTTTACTTTAATAATTTTAGTAATCAAAAGAAACATTCATACTTTTGGAAGACAGTACATTTTAACGGAAAGACAGCAGATTTCTTATGTAAGAATCCAAGACTTGGCTTTACTTTTGTGACAGTACCTGCCAATTTGGTCTCTTACCTCCATCCAAAGCCTCCTTTCCTCTATAGTAGACAGTGGAAAGGTAAAAATCTAAGTTTTGCAGATGCATCTAAACTCAGAATTTCAAGTAGACCCAGTCATCATCAATGAGGTCTATGGCAAAATCTTCTGGAGAATTCAGTAAAAGCCTTTTCCTTCCTGAAACTGACACGGCTATTACTTCCACAGTTTTTTTTTTTTTAATGTTGTCAGAAATACAAATATAATGGCTTTAGACACATTGGCTTTCTGTCAACATAAAGGTAAAGAAAAAAGACCTGCAGAGAAAAACCAATAATTTCATCTTTATGATTATAAAACTATCTCTGTTGCAATATTGTTGCTAAAGCTACATAAAATGAGCACATATCTTAAATTATAGAGATGCCTTGTTACTATTTTTAAAACTGAATTACCACCATCAGATCCTTGTACAGAAGAATATCTCAACAATAAATCCTGACTAAACTTTTATGATAAAAAGCAGGACTGGGGAAGTAACTGGTGGGTAGAGCTCTTGTCTACTATGTGCAATTCTTAGAACTACAAAAAATACACAGTGTTTCCTTTTATTCCATATTAAAATTAGTAGATAATTAATCATATTAACTCACCTTCATTTAGATTTGAACATAAAATTTACATCTGTGCTGAATGTACTCTAGCACCATACTATATTATGAAATATTAAAGAGCAGTCTTTTAAATTGTGCATTGAGATAAATTGTGAAGACTAGCAACAGATAAAATTTACTTTCCTATTCATCTTTAAATCACTATCTTTTTAAAATTACTTTTCTTCCAAAACTAGATTTTGTTAAGCCTAAAATACCAATTCTAAATCACTTTGGCATCACTAATATGATAACCCAAGAAACATTGAGGAATTCATTGCCACAAGTCTGGGGATAATTTTTTTTAAAGCTGAGATTCTCAAATAGCTAATTTCTCAGTAGAAAATATGCTGAAGACAGTGTTATCTAAGATGTTAGGAGTACAAACTGGCAAAGTACAAGTGCATGGCAGTGATGGTAGGAAGATGGAGAAAAAGATAAGCATACTTAATATTTTATATTGTCCTAAGGTGCTTTTGTATTTGATAAAATCTAAATATTAAGGAACTAACCCTTCTTGATTATTTAGTATACTGCTTTTGCCTCAGGGTATAATTCAGGATGAAATTCATGTAGGCTTATCACTGTCCACATGACCAATTTCTTCCTTAATCTATTTCTTCCAATAGACATGTAAACAATTAAATTTTTCATATTACAATTTTTACATCCCATAAGCTGTTTCTTAATCATTATCCAAAGACAGCTCATAAAACTATCTATAGAGTTTGGTAAAGAACCTAAAAATTACCTTGTGTGAATAGTTAGCCATTATGTTACTTGAAGTCTGAACTCTTGAATATGCAAATGCTAGTCTTTCTTTCTAATATCATTTTCTGAAACTTGCGCTTTTACTAGTATTAATATCCACTGAGTATCTACTGTGTAGATACTGATGAGGCAGAGAACAAGAAGGCCTTGTTTCTGCTCTCTTGGATCTACCATTCCACTATCTTTTGAAGCACCCAGCTGCTGAAACAAAACATGCCTCTCCTCTTCCCTCTCCTCAGTCACTTTAGTGATACAACACTCATCCTTCAAGGGAAATAAAGTGATTGGTCTTTTAGAATGGTAAAGCAGCTTCATAAATGCTAGAGTTTGAATCATAGCCTCTAACAGCAAAGATGTGCTGTTATCTCTATCTAGATAAAGAGGATTAAGTCATCCTCTCTCTCCAGCCCCCATTTCACACTTCACACTCTGTTAAAATCACAGGCTTTAGACTCAGAAACCCTCTAATCTTGCTACTAGTTTAAACAACTTATTTAACATTCTGAGTTTCAATTTTTATTATGAAGCCAAGACAATAATATAATCTATTTCATAGGGATCAAGAAATGTTTTAAAACAAAACCGAAATCATATGTATCAAGAATGCTGTAGACTGGAGAGCTTAACTCAGAATTAATTTATCCCTTAAACAAGATCATACCATCTGGCTAATAGCTAGGGCATGAGGAGAAGGGAAAATATGATAATAGAAGTGGTGGATGGAGTAAAAAATAATGAATCAAAACACTGAAGCAGAGGCTGCATGAGTTCACATGGATAGAGAAGGACAATGATGAGCCTCATTGTTATGTGGTATAATATTAAACCCATCAGAAGATAGTCATTCTGGTATTATCCTCTGCTCCCATTGACAGTGGTGCTATGAAGGTGAAAAAAATGATCATGTCACACACACACACACACACAGCTGTGATATGTGCTTGACCCTTTTGTCATGTCCACACTGATATGTGTCTACTCACATTTGTATTCCCAATTAACACGATCTCATGTGTATTGACAGGAAGTTTTTCTGTCAGTATGAACAGAAAAGAAAGTGATTCATAAAAAGAGACCTCAGAACCCTGTTTTAAACATATTTCTGTACAGTTCTATCAGGCCAAGATATCATCATTCAATCAGTACTAAAAGGGAAACAATGTGCTAAAAGGTCTTAAAAACTGTGTTCCTTTGGGTTGAGTATAAGTTTATCCAATAGTTGATAATTAAAATATTTTTAATGACAATTCATAAGCAAAAGGTGAGTGAGCATTTTGAATTTTGATTTAAGGAAGTTTTTAAATTTTCCAAAATACTAAAATCTTGTAAACATAGTTATTTCAAAAAGAGCAGAATATCATTCAAATTCCTGGGAATAAAGACAAAAATTTTACTGTGGAGACAAAACTAAAAGAAGTGAATTAAATATGACTACACACAAGGGGACTGGCAATTAACTTCTAGAAGAAATCAGTAAAAACAAAGAGGTTCTGTGAAATTGGGGGAATGCACATAATAATTTTTCTAGAAATACATACATTCCAAAGATAAACCTATCAAACAAATTCTTAGGTCTTTACATATAATACAAATTAATATAATATGTGTTTTCCCTCTGGCAACTAGCCAAGTAGTAAAGTGACTGAAGAAGGAATAAAGTTTGATTAAGACTGTATTATGGTGTGATAAAACAATTTTTTTTAAAAAAAGGGCAACGTAAAATCAGTAAACCCCTAAACCTGGAATGCTAGAAGAATGAAGAAATAAACCCACTGAATGGGTATTTGTACCTCTACGATACCTTGACCTCATATAGCATCCACAACTAAAAATAAGTGAAACTTCACTCTTTTTAAGCAATATAGCAAAGACAGATATAGTGGATCTGCAACAGCTTTCATGGAATAGCCAAAGTGTAGAGTAAGAATGTAATCTACACAGGCAGTTGCATGAGTATAGTAAACTCTGAAGCACATCTTTCTCTCACAGCTCAACAATAAGAACAACACAAGTCTGGAAGCCAGTGGATCTGGTTGCACAAGTCTCCATCCACTACATGCTGTACCAGAAGCATTGCTCTGACTTCAGTGTTTCCACTAATAATGGAAAGTCCCAATGTGCAGGCAACAGAGAATGAGTAACATGAAAAGGGATAAAAGTATGATATTGGGCTTCAAAGGACAGAAAAATGTAAGTCAATTCCCATATTCCAGAATTCGATATTGATTCCTAACTGAATGCTCACCAG